TATGTATGTGTATGTATTTGTATGTATGTACGTACGTACGTACGTACGTACGTACGTACGTATGTATGTATGTATGTATGTATGTACATGTATGTATTTGTACGTACATACGTACGTACGTACGTACGTACGTACGTACGTATGTATGTATGTATGTACATGTATGTATTTGTACGTATGTACGTATGTACGTATGTACGTATGTATACGTATGTACGTATGTACGTATGTACGTACGTACGTACGTACGTACGTATGTATGTATGTATGTATGTATGTATGTGCAGTCTGTGTTTTGGAGGTGCTGCCGGCCTCTGACACAAAGGACTGCCTTCTTTCAACGGAGAAAGCTTTAGTGTGTCAAAACTGCTGACAGTCCCGTCCCGACAGGACACTGTCAGCGGCGCGGCGGCTGCGGATCCAAATGTCCAACACTCAGAAACAGCCACAATGGACAGTACCCGTGTGAGTGGTGAGTGTATAGCAGCCCTTTGAGTGCCACCGAAGGAGATGACCGCCCTGGATGCCCTTATCGCGGGCTCCCTCGAGCTACCGGAGGCTTTTGAGCGCATGTGCTTCGCTTGCTGGCGTAGCCTCTGTAGCTCAGGCAGGCCAGACGAGCCGCAGCCACGGCTGGGACGGTGAGGCACCGGCGAAGGACGCTCCGTCTCTCTCTTCTTTCTCTCAATCAAAATTCAGAACTCGACTTGGCTTGCGTCTGATCAGATTCCTTCCTTTCCTGCGCCTGCCTTTCTGCCCCAGCACGACTTTACACTGCAGAAGGCAGGCATCAGTTGACGGATAGTTGAGATTGCCGCGACGGACGGGGTGACTACCTCGGTTGACGCCATATGCAAAGCCTTTGACGACCTGAAGGTCGATGCTGCAGAGTCAGACTGAGCAAACGGCTCAGCTCCAGGCTCTGCAGCACGAGTCCGAATTGCAAGAGGAGAAGATTTCCAAGCTCCAAAAGGAGCTGGCAGAACTGAAACAGCTTGTGGCCCACAAGAAGACCGCAGCTACTCGTACCCAGGCTGGCCCGAGTCGAGCAAGCAGAAACAGAGTTCAAAGAGCTCGAAGACTAACAAGGCAGCCGGGTCACAGCAGACCTGGTGCAAGTGGCACGGACAGTGGTGGTACTGGGCTGGGGGAGCGATCTGTGTTGCAACAAGCAACACGTGTCACTGCCGTTGGAACTGAATGTCTTGTTATGCACCGGCCGTGTTACCCTCATCGTTGCAGTTATTAATTAATAAAGTTGACTTTTTTCTTATTGCTCTGAGCTATCAGCGGTCCCTCCCTCTCTCTGCCGTTCTCTGTCTGAGCTTGCAAGTACAGTATGAGCAGCAGCGTATGGTAGAGTCGGCGTTGTCTGGGAGGCGCTCGTGTCTCGTGGTGAAGTCTGGGAAGCTGTAGCTGTCCCATTCTACAGCGACTCACGACTTTAGGTTCTAGTTTGACGGGACGAAAGGGTGTTTGGAGCAAGGCCTGTGTCACTACTTGCATGTGTCTAACTCGTCTGCAATGTCTGCAGGAGCAGAAGGAGGAGGCGCAGACGCCAAAGAGCGCTCCAGGCAGGAGAAGGTGTTCTTGAGTATCACGTATATGTATGCATGCATATATATATATATACATATATATATATACATACATACATATCATATATACGATGCCGTATGATATGTTTTCGCATATCATGCTTCTATGTCGAGCATCACCGTATACTATGGCATGCCCTTACACGCCGAGTTTGTGCATGTTGCAGTCGGATGGATCCCTGCGCAGGGCCAGATCTGGACCTCACGGAGGCGGAGCAAGCATGGCACAAACATCCAGCAGCAGCAATTGCTGAAACTGCTAATAGCTTTTGAGTTGATTGTAACTTGTGATCATCAACTATTCTCATCATTATTTTGATCATGATAGAAAAAAATCTTGTTGTTTAAAAGTGTCATGTGCTTTTCGCCGCGCTTTCCGATATTGTACGAGCCAGGAGCCCCGTTCCAAGACCGGTCTAAGACTCATCGGCGAGGAAGCTCCTCCGAGCTTTGGCCGCAGTACGGTGGCCTGATCAAGAGGAAGCAAAATTTTGGGATTTGGGTTTTGGGTTTAGAGTTTAGGATGAAAGGGATTCTGTGGAGATGATATCTTCCGAGGCTGACTCTGAGTGAGCACGTGTCGTTCGGATTGGCTAACAAACCACACTTCAGGCAGAGGCTGTAGAATCCCGTGAGATGCAGACGCGTTTGCTTGCCGCAGTTTAGTGGAGAAGCTGGTCGTGACCTCAGGACGCTGCCTTGGCAATACGTCCTGGCCCAAGACGACTTGACTTCCAGACGATAAAGTCAAAGGATGCACTGACGGCATGCTTGCGCGCGCAGGTGCTGAAGGACGAGATGCGTCGTTGCTTCGTTGGATTCCTGCCTCGGACTCTAGGTGGGCAGGAGTCGCAGCCGCTTACTGGCGGAGATGTGGTCGTCCATGGTCGTTGGATCTGTCAGGCAAAGAAGTCTGTGCCAGCTTCTTCGAGAAGGCACTGCAAGGTGCCGAATGGATACAACCAGCGGGTCCCAATGGGCCTATCCCACGAAAGACAGCGTGGATGGTCTTCTTCGAGTGCGACTGTGCCTATCGCCTGGTGCCTAGGGGAGAAGCTGTCGATCTGCCTTGCCGAAGCTGCTGGCTCCGACTCTGAGGTTACGATCGTATCGAGGTGAAGCCCCAGCAATATCCGCAGTGGATGTGCACCTTGATGCACTGGGTGATGCCGGGAGCCTAGAGCGATGAGAACTGCGCAGGCTTGATTTTTGGTTCCTCAAAACCCCGACAATCTTAAAATCCTAAACCCTAAGCCCTACACCCTAAACCCTAAACCCTGAACCTTAAGGGTTTAGGGAACCCAAAGCCCCGGGCCTGGGTGGCTTTCCTTGAGAGGCCCTGCTGCGGCATCAACGAGCAGAAGGCCTGCATGTTCGAGACGTCCCGGGTCGTTTTGTGCCATTTTGGGCTCTTGATCCATCAATGTATATGTAAACATGTATACACACACACATTATAGTTATAGTATATCGAATAAAAAGTAGACAAATAGATCAAAAAATAAGTGAATATATATATATATA